AGAGAGAAAGAGAGAATGTATGCGCTTGATAATGAGAAAGTGTGAGAGGTTGTGTATGCGTGTGTGTGTGAGAGAGAGAGAGAGGAGAGATTGATTGAGAGAGATTGTATTCTTAAGAGAGAAAGAGAGAATGTATGCGCTTGATGTATGAGAAAGTGTGAGAGGTTGTGTATGCGTGTGTGTGTGAGAGAGAGAGGGAGAGAGATTGAGTGTGAGAGAGATTGTATTCTTAAGAGAGAAAGAGAGAATGTATGCGCATGATGTATGAGAAAGTATGAGAGGTTGTGTATGCGTGTGTGTGTGACAGAGAGAGGGAGAGATAGAGAGAGAGAGGAAGAGAGAGAGAGAGAGAGAATAGACAACTCGGTGTACATGAATTGACAGACGAACGTACACGTTCGGGATATGTCTCTGGTCGACAAGTAAACAGATCTTGGCAGAAAATTGACTTCCTGGATAGAAGAGAAAGAGTCACGAAGCTAAAAGTTGATATCCCTTTCTTGTTTAAATCAATTTGCTTATTTTTGTCGATCATTGAATGGCCACATCAAAATGAAACGTGATCGGTGCCAGGCTGACCGTTCTCTTGATTGCCGAATTTTGCTGACTCGCACAAACATACAAGGGACTTATAAACAAACATTTACACACTTTAAAATAGTATTCATTGGGACAATCTAATAATTACGCAGGATTTTATTACTTTTTCGATCACACTGCAGTAGCGTAAAATAATAGCGTCGACTCTCAGTCTTTTACACTTAATCAATTGAGTTAGGCTTCTTTTTTGTTATAAACAAGAATCTAAATAAATATAGGAACAGTTTGTAGTTTCTTAACCTTTGAGACTTTATTTACACTATTTACAATGTTCAGAATGTTACCGCCATCTTTGTTGCAATATTCACGTCGTTTCGGCCGTTTATGCTCCGGACTTCTTCAGATTGTTAAAATTTCGAAACGAACTCTTTATTTCGTCCACCGGGGTAAAATGTTCAAGGACACATGGCCCAGTGGATAAAAGCGTTGGTTGAAGTAATCCAGTTACTTGACCCAAAGAGTCGTGAGTTCAATACCTGGCCACAGCAAAGGTGAACAAAAACTTGAATATTTGAGGGAAATAATTGATACTGAGATATCCAGAAGAGGCATGACATGTGGAACTAGAACAGTCTACCCTGGTGGACGAAATTAAGAGTTCGGTTCGAAATTCCAGTCATCTGAAGAAAGTCGGGGCGTACAACGGCCTAAACGTAATGAATATGCCCACAAAGTCAGCATCTCAGCTTATTTATTGATACACTGGTACGTTCTCCTGGGGATGAGTCCGAGGTCAGTCTGTCGGGTTGGACTAGATGGTAAGCATCTTTGATTATTTCCATGAAGTGGGCGGATTTTCTGATATATGATGGTTACTTTCCTATTAATGGATCAATTATATCCACAAGGAAGCGACTCAGAGGGTGGCGCAAAGAACAATTAGCTTGAGCGGAGAATCATCTTTGTGAATTTTTGGTAGGCATTATATGTGAGATAGCTTGCTGTAACGTTATGGCAACTGCCTGTATGTCTTAGGTGGGAAGTGGTTCTTATTCTTGATAGGATCTGCTACAGTTTCCGTTCTGTTTTCATTGTTAGATCTTTCTTTACTTTACTATAGCTACCTTTTTCCTGTATATTAAGTTTTGTCCATCACTATAGTCGCATTGCCTTTGTCAGCTGGTAGTAATGATAATATTGTCATTCCTCTGTAACGTTTTGACAATTTTGTGATGTTTGATTTGGGCGGCTTGGCTTTGTCTCACTTTACATCTTAGCTCATCCGCCCGAACCTGAGGAATATTCAAGACTCTTTCCTCGATTCGGGCAATGATATCCAAGTGTGGTATCCGCCTGATGGTTATGGCGAAGTTCAGACCCTTGTTTCATACTGACTCCTCAGAAGCACTCAGCTGATGTTGATTACTGTCTTCACGGGGTGTGATGGGCCTTGTGCGTCACTTTCTGATCTTTCAATCTGTTCAATGTTCGTACTTGGCGGACATTGACTGAATTCATGTCTGAAGGATTTATCCAGATCATGTTGGATCCTCTTTAGTTCGTCGGTGATTCTGTGAGATATCGGATTGCAGTTTTTATTTTATCCATCGGTTGTACTGGCTTCTTTCTCGGACGAGGGCGAGTCCTGCTTTTTCTGCGACCAGACGGGATCACCTTGAATTGGCGGGAAGTCTTCGTGCCAAACCTGACTGGATAAGACATAAGTGTAGGAATGTTAGATGGTTCAAAATTCGTGCCGGAAGAGGCACGCATGTGAAACTAGAGCAATCTATCCCGGTGGACGAAATGAAGGATTCAGTTGGAAATTCCCAAAACCTGAAGAAAGCCGATGCGTACAACGGTCGAAACGTCGTGAATATGGCAACGAAGATGAGGACAACAATCCGAACAATGTAAAGAGTGTAAATAAAACAATATGTTTTTACTTTCCTGGGCTTATGACTACATCACGTTGAAACACCGTTTCTCGTAAGATCATCAAAGTTAAGCAACGTTGAGCCTGTTCAGTACCTAGATGCGTGACCACTTAGGAGTTGTAAGCTTGGATGTGCAGGTGGTGGAATGTATAATGGATTGGAATTTTTAATCGAAGAACCGAGTTCCAATTCAGGTTGGGTTCGTTATATTCACCCATGCTCAAATACCCTTAAGAAATTTATTAATCCACCTCTTCTTCTCTTCTAGTTAATTAGTAAGATGTATATCACTAAACCATTATTTTCTAAAAATAAAATTCTTATGATCTAAAAATATTTTTTGACTTTAAATATCTGTAAAATGGTTGATAAGCCGTAGAAAATGAATCAATAAACATATATTCTCTTTTTCTTTTCTGTTTTCGAAATTCTTCTGTCCACTTTTCTTTCCTTTTTTCTTTTTTTTTTTTCTTTTTAATTTATTGCAGGATCTGATCATTTTCTTGTAAAAGGACGATGAGTTGTACAAACCGAATTAATCAATTTTTTAATTTTCAAACGACAGATATTTATGTTTATCTTGTTCAAATATGGAACATTTTAGTTGAAATTGTGAGAAAATGTCGTGACTTCTTTTAGTTAATGCACCATCTTAGAGACAAGTTTGTATTTATTCATTTGAGGTCACAGCTATTGATATGATATTGTGCTTTGACAAAGAGAGAATGTTTTGCTTTAGTGAAAGGAAATCAACATTTAATTATCTTGAAATTTGTTCAAGTCCAGACAATGCTGGGCGAGCCATTCAATAGCTATTCTAAAGAAATAAAAAAAAAATTGGGTACTACAAGACGATGAATAATTTTAGACGTGAAAGCTCGTCGAGCAAACAAGTGTCTCTCATGTTGACTGCACAAAGGCCCGAGGCTGAGACAAAAGGAGGTACACGTACCGGATGTTAAGGAATTATCATCATCATCTCGCAGATCCGGTGAAAACATTAGGGTTAAGTAATTGGAGATCGATTCTCAGCCACAGCACTTCCGCACCAATTAAAAAAAAGAAAAGTTGATTTTTTTTTCTTCGCTTTGCTTTCATTTCGGTCAGGTGATTTAAAGTTGATATTGTAACTGCTTCTACTTCAGCCATTGCAGACACTATTTTCTTTAACAGATGACGTCCGAGATAGACTGACTTACAAGGCTAAATAAAGCGTTCTAACTGCTCAACTGTTTATCCATAGCTGGAGGGTGTACAGAGTCATGCCTTTCCGAAGTGAAGTAACACGAACGTGAAATCGTCCAATGGATTACATTATCTATTCCATTGACCGTAAATCTTCCGACTTTTTTATTTTTTTTTTTATTAATGTTCCTCGTTCAAACAACGACTATTAATTCTAATAAGATTACGGCTAAAAGAAAATAAGAGCCTTAACGTTAATAACATGTGTCTACAATTCCGGTAGTGATGCCTAACCGCGAAACAATGCTTATTGAACTCAAATTTTTTACCCAGTGCAATACCCAAGAGTCACTCAAGGTAGAGCTGTGTGATGTTGTATGAGCGTAAGAAAAAGTAAGAAGTGAAGTTAATTGAGTTATGCAGGAAAGATAAGAGATAACTCTAGGCTTGAAGTGGTCAAGATTGTAGTGATTAGGAAACCATCCACTTGGAAGTCTGTTCCACTGCAAATAGCAGTTCTTGGCAAGAAGCTGTCCGAGTAGAATAATTCTTCCTATTGTGTATGTAGCATGGCGGGTCCCAGTTGTATAGATGAGGGCTGATGGGACTATGGAATGTAACTCATCACAACACATTCTATGGAAATCGCGATAGAGCAGCGGGAAACCCGCAAAGATTCATCTGTGGGAAAGTGGTTGTAGGGTGGGAAATAATTCATCACCAACAAGGCCGCATAGACACTTTTGAATTCTATTAAGACAGGCAAGAGAGGACTCGTTTGCTCCAGCTCTGATATGGCAGCAATGCTCCATTTTCGGTCCGATCTGACGTGTAAAGTTAGCAGGGGGCAGTCAGATACTAACTGGAGTGTTACAACGAAACCAACACTTTTTCCAGTATCTTTTGCATAGACCGGATATATGAGATCCACTTGAGGTTTGTGGAGATCTTGAATCCCCCAGTTCAAGATAAGGAGCTCCTCCCCTACCCCGAGAGGATAAGCATCCATCGTGATAGGTGAACTGATATCCATTACCGTAATTTTTTTCGTGTTTTTGAAATGCAAAAAAAAAAAAAAAAAAAAAATACGCTAATTGATAACAACGCACATCTTTATATAAATACTTATACTAATGAATAAAATTATAGCTTTGTACCACTTGCACCCCTGAAGATGATCTTCGAAAAAGATCGAAAGTACTTGGTAACTGAAAATAAAGGAAATTTAAACAGTTATAACACATTTCTCTCATCATTTAACATCAAACACGGAAGGTTATTCGTGAGTATGAACGGATTTTGCTAAAAATTAGTAAACATAATGTCTTTAATTTATTCAATCAAACTTGTCTATCTATCTATCTATCTATCTACCTATTTATATATATATATATATATATATATATATATATATATATATAGGTATGTCTGAATAAATTTCAGACACTATGTCAGCGAATTTTTAATAAAATCCTTTCATACGCACGGATAACCTTCAGTGTATTGAAAACTATGGTAATGGATAACAATGCACATTTTTGTATAAATACTTATATTAATGAACAACATGTAGTTTTATACCACTTGCATCTCTGAGGATGATCTTGGAAGAAGATCGAAAGTACTTAGGAAATGAAAATAAAAAGAAATTTAAGCAGCTATAGCACATTTCTCTCATCCTTTAACATCTATACACGAAGGTTATTCGTCAGTATGAACGGATTTTATTAAGAATTAGCAGAGGTAATGTCTGTAATTTATTCAATCAGACATGCCTAAAAGAGAATTTGCTGCCTAAACACACACACACACACACACACACACACACACACACACACACACACATATATATATATATATATATATTGTGACAGCGACAGACATATAGATATTTAAATGAAAAATATACTTATAAACAATTGTTATTTAATTAGATTAAGTAAAAGTATTTGATCGGCCAGTTATAATATTGATTAGGTCATTTATATACTTTCTCGGTTGACACTCGAATTCAAGTTTTAATATAGTCTCATGGTGCCACGCATGCATACACTCATTCAAACGCATATTGATGTATGTATGCATCTGTGAAGACATCAATGGCATTGTTTTTTCTGATGCTAGATATTGATTTGACACTTATATCCTCGTTATATCTACCACGTGTTTAATGTGCCGCCAGTGAGTCATAAAAGATAGATAATAATAGATAATTTGTCCGGTCAGTGATTGCGAGACTACTGTCCTCTCCTGTTGGCATCCATCTTAAACCAATGAACAGGTCGTAAAAATTCAGCGGCACAATTACAGCAGTCGACTTTGTCTGCGTGTGTATGCGCGTATGTACGTATGTGTGTTTATGTGCGCGTATGTATGCGTATGTGTGTATGCGTGTATTCATGCATATATATATATATATATATATATATATATATATATAGAGAGAGAGAGAGAGAGAGAGAAGAGAGAGGACACGATGTGATTTATGAAAGTTCGCTACACGACCTACTTCAAAAAGTCTGTGTTCTGATATTTGGTCATTAAATAAAGATTTTTGGAAGTGGGTCGGCACGATATCTTTTCAGCAACAGCAACTCTTCGTGTATATATATATATATATATATATATATATATATATATATATTTGTGGCCTTGTTAGGGTCAGAAATAAAGGCACAAAGAGAGGAATTCAGTTAAAAAAATGTATTAACAAAAATCCTAATACAAACATTCAAACGAGAATGTTACAAGAATGTTACAAGAATGTTCGGTCCGACTGTCAGAGCTGAAACTTCTCTCTCCAAAAGGCGGTACCTGCTCCTATTTATAGCTGGGAGAGTCCACGCATATATATATATATATATATATATATATATATATATATATATATATATATATATATATATGCAACAGTTTCAAGCAGAAGAGAATTGAGTATTCTGACAAAAAAGAACGCAATTAGAAAGGGAGAAATAGAATCTGTCTCAGAGCTATTAGGGCACCAACAGACTCGCAGTAATTGTAGAAAAGACACACTTTCGGCAGCTGGTTTAGACAGTCATGTGAGATCACACCAGAGACGTCAAATGCAAACTCCTGTGAATGTAACCTACCAGCATGACCTGGAGGTTACTTGTGCGAGCTTTGTAACAAGGTTTTTAAGTCAGTTGCGGGACTCAAACATCATATAATTGTACACAGGAACAGGCAAGTTTCCAAGAAACACATACAAAGTTTATACTTGCCACGTGTGTAAGAAAGGATGTAAAAGTAAAACTGGCCATAAGAAGCACTTACAGTCCCTCAACAGAGCGTTAGCTCGGATATAAATAATGGAAATAATAAAATGAATAAAAAAAAATATATATATATATATATATATATATATATATATATATATATATATATATATATATAGCTTGACGTGTCTTTAACCGATTTGGCCACAGAGGAGCGTTCGGTTAGAATGGTCGAATTTACTGTATTTGAACTTCAATCTTCTATGAATCTCTCAAGTAAATTCATATCTGCCCATGGCGTATCAAATGTAAACAAATTACGTCACACATTATGAAATGGACAAAGTCCGACAATCATTATGCATAAACATAAAATGTCTTAAAAATAATATATATATATATATATATATATATATATATATATATATATATATATATATATATATATATATATATATATTTCATAAAATGCTTCAAACAATGAAGATTTAATAAATTCTTTATTTAGTTTTTCCAACATTCTTACGTTTTTATATTTGGTAGGATTAAGGGAGTATAGAAATTTTGCATAAGTTTCATTGTCCAAGCGTTTTCGGCCACTTCTTTAGCCATTTTCAAAGGGGTTTTGTCTTTGTTTTTAGGTTGCAATAAACACTGATTAAATACAAAACACTCTTATTTAAAACAACACGAAATAA